GAGAATTTAGCTAGATTTTGACGCTTTGTATTTCAAAGGTGTTTTCTATCCTTTTTCTATTTCAATAAATTCCTTTTGTTTTATGGTTGTTCATAGCTAATTTCTGTTTGCTAGGGTGATGCCTTGAGCCTTAGCATGAATATGTAGTTTTTATTTAATTGCTTATGATATTATACATGCATGCTTTGAATTATTAATCATTGTGCTTTAAACTGTATCTATATCTTAATGCTTAGCTACCATTATGATGTTTAGATAAGTAATCGGATGCAATTCAGTCGGAATACCACCGAGGAAATGAGTATTGCTTCTTGTGATTGATAGTTGTAATTTCACCTAGGATGAATACCACGTCTTAGAGGTTGCATGGTTTTTCAAAGGGTTTTCACAAAGCATAATGAGTCATGCATGTTTATATTTGATCTGAATACCACGAACGGATTGCATGTTTGATATACGTTCTAGCTTGAATACCACGAGTAGAATATGCATTAGAAAAACCTAACCTTCAAAGTTGCATGGGTAATTCATAAGTAATTGATAAATCTACATAGGATTTTTAAAGGAACAACGGAACCCTAGGCTTTTGCAATTTTAATTTTCAAAAATTGTTTTCCTTTAGTCTATTTTATTTTGGCACTTTATTTAATTATTTTCTATTAAATTTGTTTTTATTATTTTAAATCATAAAATCAATTTTTTTTCCAATCTTTGTTTCTAAATAATTAATTAAGATTTGGTATTTACATAAATTATTCATTCAATCTCTGCGGAAAACTACCTTACTTGAGCCGTTTATACTACAACTACCTAGTTCTTGCAAGTATTTTTAAGTGTTTTTATTCTTATTTTAGTAGGTGGTAAAATCCCTATCAAATGCCACTATACCGAAGTACAAAGTGGCAAAATCAATTATTTTTGAATACCTTGTTTTTATAAAGGGTATTGTAGAATTTCTATTTCGAGGTAAATGTTAGGCATATCACAATTTTATCACAATTTATTTCTTCTTATACAATACATTGTACGATAAAGGCAATGAGGCCTTGGAGCCAAGCCACATAATAATTCCTCTTTTATAATTAGGTATCAAATTTATTATTAAATTCATTGAATTTGAGACATTCCACGTATGTAGAAAAAATACTACTAGATTATAGTGTTAGTGACACCATTTAATCACATTTTTTACCATATAATAGGTGGTGCGATGTATATAGTAAAAAATCAAATGAGATAAAATTAGTCATTGACACACATTACTTGTCATATTGTATAGTATTAATTGCGGGTCCAAAAAGGTATAAGACTAGCATTCTTGTTTTTTTTACGTACATAAATTCTATATTTTGGACATCACAATTTAAGAATTAATTGCATTTAGTAAGTAATTCTTAAAATATTATTTTGTAATATGATTTATTATTCTTCTATATGCATAAGAATACACTTTTCCTTATTTCACAAGTCACATTTTAAGAATTCTAGCCCCATTTAGTTAGTGTATTTGAAGAAAGGCTTTTTATATTAGTACCCCATAAAATGTTAAATGCATCCCACATTAAAATTTAATATTAAATAACTTTTTTATCCTACTATGCAATGGCAATTTTGACCTTATTAGGTTAAAAAAAAAATCTATATACACCCCAAATCACTTTTAACGTATTATTTATCTTCTTCAACTATCAAAACCCCGCCGACCCTCCATTGTTGAGTAAAACCCTAACCAATGAAACTACAAACATGTTGATTGAAAAAAATTATTTTTGGCGAATGAAATACAAAATCGATGTTTCGGAAGCTTCACATGAGGTAATACTTCATATTATTTATTGTTTTAGTGATTTTGACGACATCGATAATTATTTTATCTTGCTTTTGATGTGTTATTCAAACTTCTATGTTCGTATTCATCTTTTAGGGATCACAGAGATTACATGAAGAATTAAACAACTAAAATTACTACAAATATTAAAAACATACGACATGAGTTTTAATGGTGGAATTGAAAACAACCCACATATGCTTTAAATCCCAGGCGGCATCTTTTGTCAAAATTTTAGTCGGCTTTATTTATCGAAATTAAAAGCTTTATAAGATTTGAGAAATGTGGGGTGTATAGAAAATATATGGTGCATATAAAAAATGTAAGGTGTATATTAAGAATGGGGGTGTGAGGGTATTATGGAGAAGTAAGTGAGATGCATTAAGACAATTTTTAATTGAAAAAACAAATGTGGGGTGTATTAAGTATGTGTGATTTATTCAACAATTTGTGGGGTGTTAATATAATAAGTCTTGAAGAAATTATTTATTCCAATTAAATTTGAGGACGACAATAATTTTTATCCACAAATCACAAATTAAGAATTCTAACCTCATTTAGTAGGTAGTTATATAAAATTATCTTCCTAATGCGTTTTAAACTAATAGTCCTAAAACTTTAACCTGCAAGAAATATTAATTTGAAATTATTTCCACCTTGATAAGCTATCCCATTTAGTAAGTGTTTTATAAGAAATGGTTTATTCCAATTAAATTTGTGGACAAAATATTTCTCTACATGGATATATGCACACTTGTTTTTTTTTTTTTTTTTTTTTTTTTTTTAATTTTTATCCACAATTCACTAACTATGAATTCTAACCTCATTTAGTAGGTTGTTTTATAAGATTATTTTCCTAATGCATTTTAAACTAAAAGTCCTAAAACTTTAACCTGCAAGAAATATTAATTTGAAAACATTTCCACCTTGGTAAGCTATCGTCGAATTGCGTAAGAAAATATTATTTAGTTAATAATGGTCGAAATATGGATTATCAGGCTTCAAGGTGTGGGATACTTCAGGCTTCTTCGTGTCTATAAATTTTTGGTATTAGTACATTAACATTGTATAATAATATAATAAAATTAATGATGATATTGCTCTTAGTACTATAATATAGTGATATTTCTTTTTACTTGTAAATAAGAGTATGAAATCATAGCCCTTAATAGTTAATATATTAGTACGGAACCTACCAGCACAATATTTTATAAAGAGTTGGGATTTATACACCTAAGAATCAAAAAGAGAAAAATCTTAACGTTTACTTTGGTTGAACGAAATGGCTATTTTGTAGACAAATGCAAAATACTAGAGATATCACATTTTTAGACCATCTTTTATAGACTAAATGATGTGGTGGTTAATGGTTGAATTCATTTTTCAACGATTTAAAGAAAAAGTCCAACCATCAATTGCCACATCATGTGGTCTACAAAAAGTAATAAAAAAATCCTTAAGGGCAAGCTCGATATCAATTTAGAGCAATTGCGTTTATAGTTCAAGGATTCATTTTAGTAATAGTAGTAGGTAGTGGCGAAGTCATGAATTGTCCCCCGGGGGGGGGGGGGGGAGGGACGAACTTAAAGAGTGCAAGGTTCAAAATTGCGTAACTATATAATGCGAAGGAGGGTTTAAGCACTGTTTCTTTATAGTATCATTCCATTATGTAACTGTATAATGCTAAAAGATTTCTTAGATTCTTAATCTTAGAGTAGAATATATTATATGACTAATAACTAATTAAACCAACAATTCAATTAATCAATACCAATAATCAAGAAATTAATTTGCAAGTGGCTCTTTACCACAGTGGTGGAAATATGTTGTGTCTTTGCATAATGGCGTGAGTTCGAACCCCGTCAGTGGCTAAAAAAGAATTTAATTTTTCACATCGAATAATCAATAATCATAATCACTAACCATGTTGATCAATTATTCTACGATTCTATATAAATTTAACAAAACTTTATATTAAATAATCAATTAGGGTTTGAGGTAATATAGATATAGAAATTAAAGAACATAAAAATTTAGAGCAAAGTGGCCAATCAAACCAAAGGATGGTGCCTGGCAGCAAGCGGCTGGGCTAGGGGTGGCTTGAATTTTAGAAGGTAGGAAGGGGTTACGGGATGATGCTATTGGGGATTTGAGAGCAGTTGCTCTCTGATTGGTTTGAAGTGGGATGGAATAGAACTTGCGTACAGCAGAGCTGCACAACAGCAATGGAACCTAGAAAACACAGACAAACTTCATCACTTCCGACGGGACCAGAAGGGTGAAACCACTGCTCCTATGTAGCTTCGCAACTAGTAGTAGGTGAGTTCAACAATTAATATTTTTCAAAGAAATTTTTAATGCAAGAAAAACAAGATTATAACGAGGAATTGTTAGAAACAAACTGGAATGAAGTAATTGGATAACACTTCATGTGTACATCATGCAGGAGTGCCTAAACGGCTACCTATAGGTGGATGCAGTTGAATCCTCTCAGAAATTGACAAACTTATGTACAAGTAACGGATTAAATTTTTTTAAGAGATTGTCATAAACAAAACAGAATGAGGTAACTGGATAACCGTTTGCGTATACTATACTTCATACAAGAGCGCATATACGACTACATATTAGTGCATGCAGAATCCACTCAGAAATTGACTACACTAGTAACGGATTAAAAAATGACAACGGATAGTCAGAAACAAACTAGAAAGAGATAACTTGATAACCGTTCACGTGTACATCATGCACAAGCGCATAAACAACTACCTACTGATGCATGTAAAATCTTTTTAGAAATTGGCAGATATGTGTTTTAATAATGTATTAAAAACGATCTACACGTATCAATACGCTAATTATTTCCCTCACCCACTCTAATTCATAAGGATTAAATGTTTGTGATGAATGAGGATTCCAAGTCACAAAGACCTTTCACTTCTATTGATTTCCATAATCTTGATGAGCATGAAACAAAGCAATTAAAGAAACAAGAAATTATAGAAAAAGCAAGTATAGGAAAAGCACTTATAGGAAAAGCAAACTTGGTTGGTTAGAGAGATAGAGAAAGAGAGGAGAGAGAGAACTAATGGTAATTGACTAGATGATAGACGTAGTGGCTCTAGACTTTTGAAATTGCTCACCTCACCAAACCCTATATAATAATGTCACTGCCCGCCACGTCGTTACACTTGCAATACTCACCCTTCGTTTCCCCTGAAAATTCTTCTGTCCTCTCTCTCTCTTCTCTCTCTCTCTCCTCTCTCACACCTTCCCTCAAATTCTCACTCTCCCAGTCTCTCTCTCTCTCTGCTTTCTTTCTCTCTCTAGGGGATTTTCGGTTCTTTCGATGCCATGAGATCATCATACCCGCGCACTACTTCCCGGCGACGTCAGCCGTCGGGAATTCCCCGCCGTTTGCCTCCCCCCAGTTTCCCGCCCAACAACTTCTACCGCCAAACCCCTCCTCCCTCCCGCACAAGCTTCATCGTCGAGCTACTCGCCGATCACCGGAGTCTCCGAAAGCATGAAATCGACGCCGTGATCGCTAACTGCAAGGCCAGGCCCGAACGCGTTGAGGTTTCTCCAGCCAGTCGCATCGTGGCCTCCTTGTTCTACACGCAATGGGTCGATGCGCTAGAAGCCCTCGTTTATTTTTGGGAGTCCCGGCTGGACCGGTTTCATGATCTCACTCCTAAGTTGAACCGAATCGTCTCTGTTGCCTCCGATCTCGACGAGCTCCGGGACCGGCTGAAAGCCCTGTTCTCCGGCCGGATTAAGAAATTGATGGACGGAGAGGCGGTGAAGAAGTGGGAGGCGAAGCGAGTTTGGCTGTGCAACGACAACGAACGAGTTTCCAAGTTGCTCCGGCGGCATAACCATCTGTGGAGTTTCAGCGAGTTGAATGAGACACTAAAGAGGAACAGGAGCGAAATTCAATTGGTTGAGAGCAGGATTAGGGAGTTTAAGTCCGCCATGAATTGCTTGCTTGATTATCTTGAGGGGAAAGGGGCGGAGGAATCGGGTGAAGAAGGGGTGAGGGTGTTCAAATTTTCGAGTGAAGTTTATGATTGGAGTCAAATTCACAGCTTAATAGTTCGGGAATGCCGCAGGCTGGAAGAAGGGTTGCCCATTTACGCTTATCGGCAGCAAATTCTAGAGCAAATTCTTACCCAGCAGGTACAATGTGGTTAAATTTGGCTGTGTAGTTGTTTTCCGTCTTCCGTTTGATGTTTGATTTTGGGTTTGATTAGCAATCTCGGTTAGCGTTACTCCAATTTACGACATTCTTGATTGGCAACGGTAACGGTATATGTTTCTTTAAAGGCTCAATTCCATTTGTTGGGAGTGAACTTTATGATTGTGAAAACTAATGCTCAAGCATGTGTTAAAACCTGAACGGTTTGAAAATATGCCTTTTTTTAATACAAAAAATTTATACTTTTCTGCATTGTAGGTTATTTGTTTATTTGTTTGTTTCTTAAGCACTAATTAATGATTTAAGCCCAAATTCAGGTGCTTTAGACGTCTTACATAGTTTCTATTTATAATTTAGACTTGCCTCTTTCTCTTTCTTTCTAACTGCAGTCTGCTTAAATTTGGCTGAGTAGTTAATTTTTTGGGTTTGATTAGCAATCTCTGCTGCTCCAAACTGTGTCTGTTGTTTAAATGCTCAATTGCATCTGTTTGGAGTGAACACTAATGATTGTAAAACTAATGCTCAAGCATGTATTAAAATCTGAATAGTATGAAAATATGCTCTTTTTATTAATATAATTTTTTTTTAATGTTTATCTGCATTAATTTATTTGTTTTTTAAGCACTAATTTATTGCATAAGCTCAATTTTAGGTGCTTTATCTTTGGTAGACATCTTAACAAGGTTTTTATTTAGAATTTTAGATTTGCACCTTTGTCCTTCTTTCTAACTGCAACCTGCACAGGTCACGGTATTGATTGGAGAGACTGGCTCAGGGAAAAGTACACAGCTGGTGCAGTTTCTTGCCGATTCTGGAATTGCTGCCGAGCAGTCCATTGTATGCACTCAGCCTCGAAAGATTGCTGCCATGTCGTTGTCGCAGAGAGTTAGAGAAGAAAGTAATGGGTGTTACGGAGGAAAATCAGTATCTTGTAATTCAACATTTTTGTCAGGACAGCAGTTGGTTTCGAAGGTGACATTTATGACAGATCACTATTTACTGCAGCATTACATGAATGATACTAAGATGTCTGGTATTTCTTGCATAATAGTCGATGAGGCTCACGAAAGGAGCCTGAATACTGATCTCCTGTTGGCATTGTTAAAAGATTTACTTGGTCGACGGTCTAGTTTACGACTTATTATAATGTCTGCAACAGCTGATGCCAATGTGCTTTCCGAATATTTTTATCATTGTGGAATCTTTTATGTATTGGGGAGGAGCTTTCGCGTTGATGTTAGATATGTACCATCTTTCACTGAAGGAACTTCTAGTGATGCTTCCTATGTTTCTGATGTGATGAGGGTAGCAACAGATGTACACAGAACAGAGAAAGAGGGGACGATTCTTGCCTTTTTGACTTCCCAGTTGGAAGTAGAATGGTGTTGTGATAAGTTTATAGCACCACGTGCAATTGCATTGCCCTTGCATGGAAAACTTTCTTATGAAGATCAATTTAATGTTTTCCAAAACTACCCTGGAAAAAGGAAAATCATATTCGCCACTAATCTGGCTGAGACATCTCTGACAATTCCTGGGGTAAAGTATGTGATTGATTCTGGTATGGCAAAAGAAAGCAAATTTGAACCGGGAAGTGGCATGAATGTTCTCAGAGTTTGTATGATCAGCCAGAGTTCTGCTAATCAAAGAAGTGGCCGTGCTGGAAGAACTGAACCAGGAATATGTTATAGACTTTACTCAGAATATGACTTTGAGGCTATGCCTCCTTGTCAGGAACCTGAGATTCGCAGAGTTCATCTTGGTGTTGCAGTTCTGAGGATTCTGGCTTTAGGCGTCAAGAATTTACACGACTTTAAATTTATTGATGCACCTTCTTCTGAAGCTATTGACTTGGCTATCAGGAACCTTGTTCAGTTGGGAGCTGTTAAGCAAAAGAATGGTGTTTTTGAGTTAACCCAGGAAGGTCGGTGCTTGGTTAAATTGGGTGTTGAGCCTCGGCTTGGTAAATTAATTCTTGGTTGTTGTGACCTTAACTTGCGTATGGAGGGTCTTGTTCTTGCAGCTGTAATGGCAAATTCCCGCAGCATATTTTGTAGAGTTGGTAATGATGAAGAAAAGCTTAGATCAGACTGCATCAAGGTGAAATTTTGCCATCGTGATGGTGACCTCTTTACCCTTCTCTCTGTGTACAAGGAATGGGATTCTTTGTCTCGAGACACGAGAAATGTGTGGTGCTGGGAAAACAGCATCAATGCCAAAACAATGAGGAGATGCCAAGACACGGTGATGGAATTGGAGTCTTGCCTTAAACATGAACTCCACATGATAATTTCTGGTACCTGGTGTTGGGATCCTCGTGAATCAAATGATTGTGACAAACATTTGAAAAAGGTTATACTTTCTTCTCTTGCAGATAATGTTGCTATGTTCTCAGGTTATGATCAACTTGGTTATGAAGTGGCATTAACTGGGCAGCATGTTAGGCTGCATCCTTCGTGTTCATTGCTAGTATTTGGGGAGAAACCTAGTTGGGTAGTGTTTGGTGAAATCCTGTCGGTTTCTAATCAGTACCTGGTGTGTGTCACTTCCTTTGATTTCAACTCTTTGTCTGCGCTTTATCCTCCTCCTTCATTTGATGTATCAAAGATGGAAAGTCGAAAGCTTCAGCTGAAAGTGTTGACTGGTTTTGGCATTACTGTTCTTAAAAGATTTTGTGGGAAGGCAAACAGTTATCTGCTTCATCTCGTGTCCCGTATTAGGACAATTTGCGAGGATGAACTTATCAACATTAAAGTTGATTACTATCAGAATGAGATTATGTTGTTTGCCACCTCAAATAACATGGATAGGGTTGAAAGATTTGTAAATAATGCCTTGGATTGTGAAAAAAAATGGATGCGTAATGAATGCTTGGAGAAATGCTTATATCACAGTTCTGGCGTCTTGCCTCCTGTAGCATTGTTTGGAGCCGGTGCAGAGATCAAACATCTGGAGCTTCAAAAAAGGTGTTTGACATTTAATGTAATTCATTCAAAACTGGATTCTGAAGATGATAAGGAGTTACTTAGTGAGCTTGAGAAGTCTATCTCTGGTGGTATATGTGCTATTCACAAGTTCCCCAGCACTGGGCAGGAAAGTGTTGACAAAGGAAAATGGGTGAGGGTAACATTTCAAACTCCTGAAGCGGCTCAAAAAGCAGCTGAGCTAAATGAATCTGAATTTAGTGGCTCCATACTGAAGGTTATTCCTTCGCAGGTAGATCATAAAATGTTTTCATTCCCCGCTGTTAGAGCTAAGGTTTATTGGCCTCGCAGGCTAAGCAAGGGGTTTGCATTCGTCAAATGCCACATGAATGATATCTATCCCATAATTGATGACTTTTCTAACCTTGAAGTTGGTGGAAAAAAAATTCGCTGTGAGATTAGCAAAAAAGGGGACATGGATGCTATCGTGATATGTGGACTAAGCAAAGATCTGTCCGAGGCTGAAATTTTGGACGTGTTGAGGACTGCTACAAGAAGGCAAATCCTTGATTTTTTTCTGCTGAGAGGAGATGCTGTAGGAAATCCGCCATGTAGTTTTTGTGAAGAAGCACTCTTAAAAGAAATATCACCTTTTATGCCTAAGAGGTATTCCCACAATAGCTGCAGTGTACAGGTTTTCGAGCCTGAACCAAAGAGTGTTTTCATGAGAGCTTTGATTACATTTGATGGAAGATTACACTTGGAAGCGGCGAGAGCTTTAGAAGAATTAGAAGGGAAGGTACTGCCTGGGTTCCTTCCATGGCAAAAGATGAAATGCCAGCAGTTGTTTCATAGCTCTCTATCCTGCCTCGCCCCTGTCTATCTTGTGATCAAGAAGCAGCTGGATACTTTACTCTCAAGTTTTATACATCTAAATGGTACTGTTTCTTATCCAAGATTTGGTTTTCTTTTGATCTTATATTTTTCTGTGGTTGCAAGTATATTGGCGTATTCTTCTTTTAGTGTCACGCCCTTTTTTTCATTTTAATTCTTCCTCCTTCATGACTTGGGATTTTTATAATTATAACTTTAGATGTTTTGTGAATCACTGTTCTCCTGGAAATAACATGTAATTGCAGCATTATGATAGAAGCCATTCTGGAGAACTTGGTTCTTGCAATGACTGAGTCTTGTAATCCTTCCAAAAGCATTTTAATTTTATAATTATATGGGAATTTTTTCAATCTAATGCACCCTTCTGCTTTATCTTGTCCAATAAATTGTTATTTCTATCACTGGTTTATACTAACAATGACTAAGAACAATAGGTTTATTTTCTTATAGACATAGGTAGGTGTTTGACCGTCTTTATGTTTGTCTTGTTTACAGGTGTAGAATGCAGCTTAGATAGGAATGCTAATGGTTCCTACCGAGTGAAGATATCTGCCAATGCTACAAAAGTTGTTGCAGAACTGAGAAGACGTGTGGAAGAGCTTGTTAAAGGAAAGACTATAGACCACGCCAGCCTTACTCCAGCTGTTTTACAGCTTCTTTTCTCTAGGGATGGCATCAGTCTAATGCACGCACTCCAGCGAGAGACAGGAACCTATATTCTTTTTGACAGACGTAGCCTCAGTGTACAGGTCTTTGGTTCTTCAGACCAAGTTGGTGTGGTAGAGAAGAAATTGGTCGATTCCCTTTTAACCCTCCATGACAATAAGCTGCTTGAGATCCGACTTCAAGGCCATACCTTACCTCCCGAGTTGATGAAAGAGGTTGTTAACAGGTTTGGGCCAGACTTACGGGGGCTCAAAGAGAAGATCCCAGGGGCTGATTTTGGTCTAAATGTTCGCCGTCAAGTAATTTCCATCCATGGAAGCAAGGATGTGAAACAGAAAGTAGAAGAGAGTATTTATGAGATTGTACAGACGTCAGGTAGTTCAACTCAGAGGTTTAAGAGTGATGTTGATTGCCCCATATGTATGTGTGAGATTGAAGATGAATACCGGCTCGAGGACTGTGGGCATTTATTTTGCCGCTTGTGTCTAGTGGAGCAGTGCGAGTCGGCAATTAAGAACCAAGATAGTTTCCCAATGTTTTGTGCACACGAGGGTTGCAGATCTCTTATTTTGTTCATTGATCTGAAGTCTCTATTATCAAATGAGAAGCTGGAGGAGCTATTTAGGGCTTCACTGGGGGCGTTTGTTGCATCAAGTGCAGGTATCTACAGGTTTTGCCCGTCTCCTGACTGCTCTTCTGTGTATCAAGTAGCTGCTCCTGGGACAGACGGTGAACCATTTGTTTGTGGTGCATGTTATGCCGAGACATGTACCAGGTGCCATTTAGAACATCATCCATACCTCTCATGTGAGCAGTACCGGGAGTTCAAGGAAGACCCAGATTCATCGTTGAAGCAGTGGTGCAAAGGAAAAGAACATGTGAAGAGCTGCCCGGTATGCAGGTATACAATTGAGAAGATAGACGGGTGCAACCATATAGAATGTAGGTGCGGGAAGCACATTTGCTGGGTCTGTTTGGAGTATTATGCAACGAGCGACGAATGCTATACCCATTTGAGGACTATTCACCTGGCCATCATTTGATATGAAGTGCTCGTGACGTTTACTTATCGGTCGGCTTAGAGTGTTGTTGATATATGATATGAAATAGGTAATGTAGACACAGCAAATGTAAGTACATTTTCTCAATGTAAGTGCTTTTAACCAGACTGAACTCTAGCCAAGTTTTTCGGTGTTCTCATCAAGTTTGGATAATAAGAAATGAGAAGCTCTGATGAGATCATTCATCCAATTTTGTGTGCTTGCTTTTAACCGTGACCTCGAAACCGATCTGAAACTCTAATAAGCCCTTGTATTCAGTAATTTTTAAACTGAAGCAACTCTTGACCATTGATCCATATGGAATCGACATTGCATCAATGGTTAGAAATTCCGGGGACATGCCTTAGCATTTCTCTTGTCTATGTTATGTGGCATGGAGAAGTGCAAAGCGGGTCCTACACTCAACTGGACCACTAAATCAGAAACATATAATCCCAAAGAATCCTTGTTCAAATTTCAGTCAACGGAATGCTTGTTCATAATGCATACGCCCCTTTTGACCAAAAAAAAGAAAAATTTACACATTTATATGCACACCTATATATTTTGCAGTACAAAAGTGAAATTTCAGTACAAGTATCTGCAACCGAATGCGAAGCCCACGCCGGCGATGCCAAAACAAAGTGCCAAAGCTACAACCCAAGTGATGCCATCCCCACCGTCACCTCCTTTTGATCTGCCACAACTACAACTCGCCTGATCACTCCCTTGCTCCGCCCAATGCGACTGCAACTTTGAAACTTGAAGCTCAAGCAACATCACCCATTGCCTGTAAGCAAACAACTCTTTAGCCTCCGCAAGCAACGCATTAGCGAGACAGTCTTTTTCCTTCCCCAACCTCTCAGCCTTCTTCTCCGCCTCCCTCGCTCTCGTTTGCGACAGCCTCAGCGCCTTCAGAAGCTCCAGCTTCTCATTCTCTCCGTCAATTCGGTTTCCATCCATGTCAAACTGGTCGTCCCTGTGATCATCATCGCGATCTGAGTTCACACTGCAAATCCTTTTCATGGATGACACAACAGTTTGATCCGAACCCGTAAATAGTTTTGCCGGCGGAGGAAGATCGCAGTTCTGTATGAGGTGTAAGCCAGCAGTCTTGTGGGAAACAGCAGTTAGACCCAGAAACATTTCATTCCCATCAGCTGCTTTAGGATTCAACTTTGTGTTATTAGATATCCGCCCAGCCATAGATGTCGGACTGATCAGAACTTGAGAAACAATAAAAGGAATTGGAAACTGCTTAATTTGTTGAGGATCGAAATGTAAAAAGAAAAAAATAATGGGGATATTTGGTGGGTGGGGTGGTTGGGAGAGACAAGGATTGAGAGGAGAGAGAGAGAGAGAGAGAGGGGAGAGAGGGAGGGAGTAGTGTGCCCGCAAGAAACGGGGTCCGTGGAATTGAATACAATTGTAAATGTTGGTCATTGCTTTTAGTACAAAGGTTGGAAAATTCCTTGCTTGCTTTGCTTGTTTGATTTGCTTTACACACAATAAATACGTTACACGGCCTAGACAATGACATCTTCAACTTAATTTTGTCTTAACTCTTCATTTGATAAAGGGATTATGAAAAAAATCAATGCACTAGATACGTCAACGCTTGTAATTACGTTGATGTGAGAAAGATAATAATATTTGTATTACAGAAATTTAAAAGGATAACCTTCTAACAAGCATTCTGCCACTTAGTACATGATATGGTGGTATTCTTCTTCACTTATAAGTGAGAGGTCTTAAAGTTCGATTCTCGTCAAATGCGAATTTGAACCACATTATTGCTAGCCCATTATGAGGCTAAGCTCAACCCCTCCCCTTTAGTGTGTAGATAATAACAATTGTTAAAAAAAAAAAAAAAAAAAAAAAGCACGTTATAGACTTTTAACCTGTTTTTTACAAGACAAAAATTCACTCTACAGGATCTCAATCTTTTTGAAGCGAAACAATAGCAGTTTTATTATCAAAATTATTTTGAATGAAATCCAAAGTCCTCAAGCCAAAAGAGACTCCAACATAACATACAATGTCATTTTGCGAAACTATTTGTCACGTACTCGTGGATTTAAAGATGAGATAGGCCCTGAAATAAGCAAAGCATCGTAACCAACTCTTGGAATCATCAACACCTAAGCCCAGAAGATTGAACTCGTAGTCTGGAACTCCAAAATCAAATGAGCTCCATTAATAAAATAGTCAGACACTTCACAAACTGACAAAAACCACCAAATGAGCGGGAAAAGGGTTACTACTGGCCCCAAGCAAGTAAGGGGTGACAACTATGAAACTTGTAGATCTAATGATTTGTTATGGGGAAGCAGATAGGTGTGAGAGGGAGCGTTTTGGCTGCCAGGTCCTTTATTAAAGATTCGACGGGTCATTAATATTGCTAATAGTGCATCGATAACGTATAACATGTTGTTGGGGGACTTTTAGGTCAAAGTGGATTTGGGCTTTGAGAACGTCTTCTTGTCTCCCTCGGTTTCGTACCAAGTCCTGGAATATCTCGAAAGAATTAGCACGTCTTAAGAATTATACCGGTTCGATCAATGACTCGAATATAGCATGATTAAGCAAATAATGACTTGGTCAAATGAGGCATGGTGCGGAAACTAGAAGTTCATCAGTTTAACGTGTTGAGAGAGAAAGAGAGTTGGCATGATTGCATGGTGTTCTAGATTGGATAATTTAAGTTTCCAAGGGCGGTAGCAAGACTTACGATGGCTGGAATACTCAAATGAGGTTATGGAGAATGTTAAGGTTGCATAGTGATGTTTTTGGGTTTCTTTGGTTCTCTGTGTGAAGCTAGAGGTTGGGCCTCAAGAGGCTTTCCCTGACTAAAAGAGATGAAAGAAGTTTGGGAAAACCCTAAGGTTGCAGAAAGATGGTTCTTTATTTCTCTCTAACGTTTAAATCTCTCTATATTATGATGTTCTAGACTAAGTTCTTGGATTCCCTTTAATGGCTTTTGACTCCCCTTTTTGTAGATGAATGATTCATTTCTAGGTTCCCAAGGAATATCTAATTGTGCCTTGGTTATCCCCTATTTCTCCCTAGTTCTCCTGCTACTCCCCAATTTTGATGTAAGGAGGCTAGACTGTAGAACCTGCATCATGTTTTCTTCCCGAGGCACGGGTTTCCTAGGTCAACTTTCCGCATGCGCTACTTTTGGTGGAGCGCCTCATGGCTTTCGCGCGTTGGACTTCTGCGTGAGCTAAAAAGGGAAAGTCTGCCTATCTCTTCATTAAATGCATGTCTAGCTAGCTTTCACTTGACTCTAAAGGTTAGGGCTTGGTTCCTCCCTAACTAAGTTGGTTAGATTGCTAGGGAAAGAAGGAAACTAGGTTGGTTCTCTGAAACACCTCGACCGGAGTCGAGGTATGCTGGTCGTCACGTGAGGGTGACGTAGCAAAGTGCGTAACAGAAGTGATAGTCTTAAGAAAATGTGAATAAATAAAAACCAAAACTAAACTTATTTAACTAGAGATAATATATAAGTGGGTGAAAGTGATCAAGTATATGATACACACATATTAGAGTATAGGTAACACGAAAGTGCAGTCGAACTAACTAAACACTAATTATACAAACCGGGAGAGGATCCCTACAATATTTAATGGAAAATCAGAACCGCCATGTAGTCCTCGTGAGCCACCAAAGATGAACAGCTACCTAGAACCTGGAGGGGCGCAAAACAGAAGGGTGAATGGGCAAAAACAAAGCATTCGAAAACGTATTTATCTTTATGAACATAATAACCCCTCTCCGTAAAACCATTATCGTTTCCAGAAAATACTACTACATAGGTATAAAAACGAATGCATAAGACCAGTGAAAACTGAGATATGCCATGTCATAATATTTCAGCATTAAAAAGATGTAAACCAAATGGCAACTAATATAAAATAGTATGTCAGTTGGAGTCACCTTGTGTGACCTGTACAACTGGATCTATAACTCATCAATCTAGGCTAGCACACGAGTCAGAGTCACCTAGTGTGACTTGTACAACAGGGTAGGTATAAATATGTACGCTCAAGTGCTACAATCGTGTGAAAGCTGTACGATAAATTGTGGGTCACCTACGAGTTGAAACCACCTATTATGGTCTATACGATAGGCTGGCACCAGACTTGGATCCAAGGTAAGCGTGCGATGTAGGAGGTGAACAATCACGTAAATGTTGGCCTTGGCCCCGTGCGGGAGCACTAATACCGGGGTGCAGCCATGATGAGCTCTAAATAAATGTATGCATACCAGTGCAATACAACTCATTTAGTCACATAATACTCACCAGAAACTTACCTAAGTCTCCTCAGCATTACACAATACAATTCACAAGTGTAACAATGCAATATTTAAAATGTAACTTATTTACGACATGGCAAGCAAAGCATAATTCCATATAAAAACGTTTCTGGAAACCGTATATGTATGTGTGTGTGTGTGTGTATATATATATATATATATATAACAAATGGCCAATCACTGATAAGTAGCAGGATCGTAGCCCTTTAGCTTCGCTTGCCCATGCTCATCCTCAGGGTATGTCTCACCTATATGCGATACAACTATTTTTATGTTAATTAATTAGCATATATACGAAATCTAGAAATAACTTCTCATAGTTTGCTCAAATGTAAGGTTTGAATATACGAATGTGATCTACTCGATGATATGAACTCACACAAATTTTTAGAAAAATTTTTGGATGCCAGACGCACCCTCACGCGCCTGCCATGTGTAGGCACGTGCACGACACACTGACGGAAACCCTAACGGTGTTAGGAATATTCCATCAAAATAGGCGGAACATTCCGTTAAATGGTAACAGCGTTACACAACATCGTTAGAATATTCCGTTAACATACGGAATATACCTTCTTCTTCTTTGGTCACCCGTCGGTCTCCACAGCTTACAGCCGCTGGCTGTCGTCTACATTTGCTGGTTTCTAGAAAATTTTCAAAGCTTTATATCTACTTCATTTCTTAACCAAAATCCATGAAATTTATATGGATTTGAAGGTCTTGAAGAGTAAAACACGTTCATACCTATTGGAAGTCCAAAATCCAACGAAAAACGATCGAAAAATTCCTTGGAAAATCCGGCCAACTCTGCAACTCTTCGAACCCACCTATTCCGACGTCCACTCCACTCCAAATCTACTCTAAAAAGTTGCATAGAGACCATCCCAAGTC